GCAGGCTCCCCGCTGAGCAGAGAGCCCGATGCGGGGCTCAATCCCAGGACCCTGAGATCATGACCTGAGCTGAAAGCAGAGGCTTTAACCCACTGAGCCACCCAGGCGCCCCCATCCCTGCTCTTTTCATTCAACGTCTTTGAATGTTACTCATATTCAGATAAGAAATTGTAATTTAGTTATATTCACTGCTAATATACTATCCCACTTGTGAATATACCACAACTTACCTATTCTTTCTGTGGACACAAAGATTATTCCCAATGTTTTCATATCAGAAACAACGCTGCAATGAACTCTTATGAATGTCCCTTGTTAAATGGACAAGATTCCTGATCAGATTCAGGTTTTTCAGTTTTTATTTTGTTTTGACTTAGCAAATACACTTCATAGGTGGTAGTATGAACTTTCATCAAGAAGTATGTAATTATTTCTGGTGGTTGTCTCTCTTTTGTGACATTAGTATCAATGATGATCACCAGGAATTACAAAATGGTAATATTCTAATTCTTTTATTCTTTCTTCATTTATTGGTTGGGCTTTTCCTCTAAGGAGCAATTTCGCTATATGTACCCTTGGAACTTACCAATAATTCCTTCAGAAGGAACTACTACTGGTAGAAAAGGCAGGATAGGGGCACCTGGGTTGCTCAGTGGGTTAAGTTTCTGCCTTTGGCTCAGGTCATGATCTCAGGGTCCTGGGATCGGGCCCCGCATAGGGTTCTCTGCTCAGCAGGGAGCCTGCTTCCCTCTCTCTCTCTGCCTGCCTCTCTGCCTGCTTGTGAACTCTCTGTCAAATAAGTAAATAAAATCTTAAAACGAAAAAAGGTAGGATAAATGTTTCTTTCCTTTTATTTACCAATTTTCAAAACGAGACCCTAATATGCTCCAAAGTTGACCAATGATGTTTTTAAAAATTTGTTTAATACTTATAAACTCACTGGGGACCCTGGGTGGCACAATCGGTTAGGCATCCAACTCTTGATTTTGGCTCAGGTCATGATCTCAGCATCGAGATTGAGCCCCACGTCAGGCTCCTTGCTCAGGGCAGAGTCTACTTGAGATTCTCTCTTTCCCCCCTTCTTCTTCTGCCCCCTCCCTGCTCACTTGTGAGCGCTCACTCTCTCTCTCTCAAATAAAAACTTAGGATAAAAAAAAAAAATTATGAACTCACTGATATAAACTTACTTGATATATTCAATTATAATTACTCGTATTAATGCTCAAATTTTCTTATTTGGGGGCACAACAAAAAGCTACTTCTGGTGGCTACTAAACCTTTTACCATGACCTCTATAGTTTTTGTTTTCTGTCTGGCACAGTAAGAGTTCAGGCTTATTTTGGGCACAATCTGGGCTTAACAGTGCTCAAGACAAAGACACCTACTATCACCATCCAATTACAGGTACAGTGTAGTAAAGAAAAAGAAAAAAAATGACTAAGGATGGAAAGTCAGGGAATTGCCAATGCTTACAGACAACAGTACTGATTATATGGAAGCAATGGAGTCTACAGGGACTCTCAGAACCAAAGGCAATAATGTTGCTAAGGAGATAAATATGCAAAATGAACTATATTTCTGTATATCTAAATCCTAATTATTAAAGTTTTAAGAGTGTTATTTGCAATAGGAAGAAGAGCTCCAAGGAATCTACAAATTTCACCAAAGATTTTTAAGACTTTATAGAGAACACTGGAAAAACTTTAAAGAACATAAGGAAGTGAACTGCTACACTGTACTGATGGAAGGGAAGACTACTATGGACAGGTAACTGAGTACAGCAGGCCAGGCTGGGACGGGAAAGAAATAGACAATGCAAGCCCAGCCTAGAAAAGGTCACCAGCCTACAAGTGCCATGGCAAAATGTGGATCCAGTGATGTCAAATCCTACTGATTTTCTAAGAGAAACTAAAAATCCAGATTTCCATGAGAAGTTCCTTGATTTTTATGTCAGCAGCAAATTCAAAAAATTTAACATATTGTGCAAAACAAAACACATCTGTGGAAGAATCTGGCCCCCAAGCCACTATATTTTACCCCTGCAATCTACCCACTTTTTTAGATACTCAACTTTACTTCTGGGTCGTGTTTAAGCCAGACACATAAATTCCTAATGAACGATTATTGTGCACACCTGTAATGCTGTAAGAGCTTACAAAGTTATGTCCATTCCTTATTTCTAATGCCCACGATGGCTATGTTTTCTTCTGATGGCAGTTATTTTGTATTTTTCACTATCAGCTTCTTCCTTTTCAACAACACTCATAACTGACTTTTCAACAGCAACCTCCTCGCTCTCCCTGCTATCTTCCATTCCAAAGGTCTGACTGCGATAATTTTTAGCTGTTCACTGATTTTCTTTATATTTACTTTCCAGTTGTTTTTAAGCTGTGATTTTTCTTCAACTTCATAAACCCCTGCTGTGTAAAAACCAATGAGCTAGACGTTCTCATTGATACGCAGTTAGAAGGGCACACAAAAGAAACCAACATTTGGATATATATTACAACCTCTCCCTAGTATTTGCTAGCCGTGTGAATTTAAACAAGTCCCTTAATCTCTGAATCTCAGTTTCCTCATCAGCAATATGAGGATATTACCTATCTTGTGGGTATTACTGTAAAATTTGAAAGACTTTCAAATGTGGCTACTAGAAATTTTTAAATTCTACATCTGGCTCATATTTTTATTTCTATTGAACAGCATCATGCTAGATACTGCAGTAAAAAGTAAAAAGAAACAGGTGAAATTAGTTTGAATAATAGATTTTATTTAACCCAATATATCTAAAATATCATTTCAACATATATTCAACACAAAATTATTAGATATTTTACAACTTTCTTTTGTACTAAAGCTTCTAAATACAGTATGTATTTTACACTTAACAGCACATCTCAATTTGTATACTACATATCCATCAGAAATATTTTAACTATATTTAGATTTCATAAAATTTACAATTGATAAAGTAGATTCACATACCCAAGCTGTCGAAAACATTTAAAGTTTTCCAGTAACTGCATCAAATACCCATCAAAAATTTATTTTCCTTGAATATTCGCCTCAGTTGAACTAGCCACATTTCAAGAGAACGGTGGCTATGCATGTACTGGCTATCATAATGAACAGCACAAGTCTAACAAGTCTAATAAAATGCAATAAACGGTAGCTGTTTTTACACATAATTAAGTGAAAATGATACTGTGATTCATACATGCAAGTGAGAGAACCTAGATAAGAATCTTTTTATGGGTACATTATAAAGGAAATTCTGATGCGCAGGATACCAAATTACCGCTTGGATAGGGCCCTGACTTATTCAAGTAAAGGAAATAGAGTAAGGGACTTAAAATTATGATTTCCTATCCCTATTCGGAAAAATCTTTTCTTTGGTACCAAAATTTTAGTACAGTTTCCTTGAATATTAACACTTTCCACCTAAGAATTAAATGTTTTATCAAATAATTAAATTCCAGAACACCCAAAAAAATGCCATCTAGTAAAGTTGGAAAGTATATTTTATTTACATAGTAATGACTCTTAGAAATAGAGAGTACTCTTTCACAAAATGAAATATCATCAGTGTTAAATCTATTATACGATTTTAAATTCAACAGTTGGTCTTTAAAAAACTCCTTTAATTCTGTGGTGACAACAATGGTTATTTCTGAATGTAGGGATTAAAAAGTCTCCCCACCTCCACCCCTATCTTTTAGAGCCCAACATAATAGATTTCTGTAAATCTAACCTAAATATGTCTACTTAAAATCAACCAACAAAAATATACACATCTCTTTGCTTTATACTATGACATTCACTAAATGTATGACCACCTGGATCACTTTTTGATGTGGTAAAAGCACATAACGTGTTTTACTCAGAGGAGAGTTTTTGTTTGCCTAGTACCTGGTGGTCCTCCTTTCCTCTGATAGTAACACCTCAATCTTCCTTTGGGAAATTAATGCTCTCCCACTCTCAATCATGTATTTTTAGAGAAAGTGACCTCATTCCCAGCCCTAAGATAAGCATAAAACTAACCCAAGTCAGTCTGATAGGATTCAATCCCATTACTATTTTGTTTTAATTCAGAGGTGGGGAATCTCCTTTCACTGGACTTACTGTGCTGAACAAAAGATAAACATGTCCACCTTTCCAGGTAAATTAAATATATCAAAACATTAACCAACAGTTATCTTTGAATAACGGAAACATGGGTGGTATTTTTCTCCTAATGTTGCACATTCTTTCAATTTTGTAGTCTTTTCCTTAAAAAGACTATTTAGCATGTAATACAATTCCTAAATTCAATGAGATAAAATTTAATAGCATTAATAAGAATTAAAAAACAACCCGCTATACTCTTCTCTGTGACTCAACCCCCCTTAACATGTATAAACATGGATGGAAGAAAGCACTTATCACCAAGAATACCCTTCTCAGAGCTTAAACTGGCTGTATCTAGTAATATGCATTTGTGTGTAGGAGAAAATCAGGAGGCAGACCTGCACAGTGGCTACAGCAATCGAGTAATGAGGTAATTATGACAAAATCCATAAATGCCATTATGTGGCAACCACTTAATTTCTTTTACTTAAAAACATCTATTCTGAGTGGTCCTCCTTATATCATTGTGCATACAGAATAAAGCTAAGGAAACATTTAGCAAATACTTCTTAAATATTCATTACTGTCCAGCCCCTCTGACCGACCAATCACAACCTACTGGTTAATCCTTAAAGCAAGCTAGTTGCCACCATCAAAACATATTCTAATCCACATAATGAGAGATTCCCAATGGAAAGCACAACTGACAGCAATATCATGCCTTTCCAGGTCTGCAACTTTCTCAATTCTACCTTCAGTTCCACAATGATCAGACTACATGACTATGAAAAGTATCCTGTCTTTCCTGACAGGAAAATACTGACCGACCCTCCCTGAGCTACTGTCATTCAAACAAGAGTACCCTTGCTAGATGTGGTCTCAGCCCAGCCTACCTGTCCAAAGTGAGCAGGGTAGCCCAGCATGTGCATATATAGTAATTTTGCCACATTCCGACACCGGTATGTATTGTCTTCTTCTCTAAAAGATGATCGGATTGCAGCACATTCTTTCTGGATCATTTCTCGTTCTTCGGCTTGGGTTCGGGCTGTCCGGATGGTCCGGATCAGCTCCCGCAATCTGATGGGGGCTGGCATCCTCTGGATATGGAAAGACATTAAATAAAAATGTTCACTTTTTTACTATCAAAACCATTCACACAACTTCCCACAAAAATTTCTTATTTTTAAGAATTCAAGATTTGCTAAGTCCGAGGATACAAAGCTTCAGCAAAGCTATTACATACAAACTCAACTCAGTAAATATCTGGAAAGAATACAAACAAAAGTGTTAAGTATTAAGCAAGATAAGCACAGAATATACCAATATCTAAAAATCCATCATTATTATCAAAATATCTTAGGAAAAACTCAATCCAAATCCTTACTCCATCCTTAAAGTAATTAAGAAAAGGTCTATGCCCAACCTTAAAGACAAATATTTTCTGCTCAACTGCTAACTCAGTATAACACAATAAATTATCAGATGAATACTGAATATGATCATAAAGTTCAACTCAACAAAATAGAGATTACAAGACCAATTATTAGATTTAAACACTTTTTCCAAGAAACAACAATCATCTCAGTACACTTGGGTACTCTCTGGAAATTGTGATGAGGAAAAAATAATAAACCAATCTCAGAGGATAAGACTATTAGAGTCATATTCTCGTATTTTTAAAATTGTAATAGTAACAGTAATAAAACCTATAATAGCCAAAACAAGGAAAAAAGAAAAAAAAAGGCGGGGAGTGCCTCGGTGACTCAGTCGTTAAGCGTCTGCCTTCAGCTTGGTTCATGGTCCCAGGGTCCTAGGGTTGACCCCCACATTGGGCTCCCTGCTTCTCCCTCCCTCTCCCTCTGCTGCTCCCCTGCTTGTGTTTCCTCTCTCGCTGTGTCTCTCTCTGCTAAATAAATAAAATCTTTTTAAAAAAAAATATTTTTAAAAGATAAAGTTGGAGAAATTGTACTACCTAATTTCAAGGAATATTATAAAGCTACAGTAATTAGGACAATGCGGAGATGAATTTAAGTGCAGATTCAGAGAATAATGGAGCAAAAGAAAAAGTTTGGGAATAGACCTACATAAAAGCTCAACTGATTTTCTAAAGAGACCAAGGTTAGTCAATAGGAGAAAGGGTATTCCTTCAATAAATGGTGCTGGCACAACTATGTATCTGTACAGAGAAAAAAATTAACCTCGGATCCTAACCTCACATAATATACAAAAAATTAATTCAAAACAGATCACAGCCCTAAATAATAAAGCCAAAACTAAAAATCTTCCATTAGAAAACATGGGGGGAGGGCGCCTGGGTGGCTCAGTATGTTAAGCCTCTGCCTTCCACTTAGGTATAGATCCCAGGGTCCTGGGATCCAGCCCTACATCTGACTCTCTGATCAGCAGGGAATCTGCTTCCCCCTCCCCCGCTCTCTCTCTCTGCCTGCCTCTCTGCCTACTTGTGATCTCTGTCAAATAAATAAATAAAATCTTAAAAAAAAAAAAAAAGAAAAGAAAACATAGAAGGAAATCTTTGGGAACTTAGGTTAAGCACCGATGTCATATATAACAAGCACAAAATACGAAAGAAATAATAAACCTGACTTGACAAAAAGTTAAAACTTTTGCTTTTCAAAAGATGCAAATAAGGCAAGCCACAAAGAAAAAAATAAAATTCCGATCTTACAAAGGACATGTATTCAAAATATGTAATTTTACAACTCAATAAGACATCTTATTTAAAAATGAGTAAAAGATTTGAATACACACTTCTCAAAGAAGATATATGAATGGCCATGAACACATGAAAGCATGCTTAACGTCATTAGTCAGCAGGGAAATGCAAATTAAAACTATAAGATATCACCCTACACCATTAAAATGGCTAAAATTTAAAAGACTAGCCATACCATGTGTTCATAGTGATGTAAAACTTTTTTCTTCATTTTTTTTTTATTATGTTCAATTAGCCAGCATATAGTCGGGCATCATTAGGTTTTGATGTAGCATTCGGCGATTCATTATTTACGTATAACACCAGTGCTCAAATTTCACATGGAATGCAAAATGGAATGGTTCAACTACTTTGGAAAACAGTTTGGCAATTTTTTATAAAATTAAATATATATTTAGTATAGGATTCAGCAAATCCACTCAGTATTTACCAAAAAGCAATGAAAAATAAATGTTCTCACCAAGACTTGTACACAAATATTCACAGAAGCTTCATTTATAATTACTAAAAACTAGAAACAACTCAAATGTCCATAAACTGGTGAATAATAAGGGTATACCCACATAAATGAATACTTTCCAGAATAAAACAGAACCAACACAACATGGAAGAGACTCAAAAACATTATGCTAAGCAAAAGAAGCAGGAACAAGAAAGTACACACTGTATGATTTCACTTCTCTGACACTGTAGGCTCATCTATAGTGATGCCAGAAAGATCAATGATTGTCTCGTGTTGAGGGTGGGGATGGGAATCGACTGGGTTGCAAGGAAACCTCTTGAGGTGACAGAAATGTTTATGATGAGTATATACACATCTCAAAATTCACTGAACACTTAAAACAAGTGCATTTTGTTGTATGTATTTATACCTCAACAGTGTTAAGAAAAATGATTAAAAAATTAGATTAAGGGGCGCCTGGGTGGCTCAGTGGGTTGAAGCCTCTGCCTTCAGCTCAGGTCATGATCCCAGGGTCCTGGGATCAAGCCCTACATTGGGCTCTCTGCTCCGTGGAGAGCCTGCTTCCTCCTCTCTCTCTGCCTGCCTCCCTGCATACTTGTGATCTGTCAAATAAATACATAAAAATAAAAAAAAAAATCTGTAAAAAAAATTAGATTAAAATATCATTACCATCATCTTCAGTACATACAAGCTGTGGAATCATTAAACCAGTAAGTCTCAAAGTTGTTCTAATCGCACAGACCAGGAAGATATCCCAGTCCCATTAGTTCACTATAGCATCACTTCTCAAGGCAGGGATAGTATATTGGCAATTTTTTTGAAAAGTTCTCTAGGTACTGGTACGTTCCTCCCTATGGCCCTCTTAAAATCACACATACTAAACTGTATAAGGCTACCTGTACAATATTTTGTTACTTTTTAATAGAAATACCGTGGGCCTAGTGTTTCAAGGTTCGTACATTCACTGTCTTCATCATTTCATTTGTTCTAATCCATTTGAAGTAAGGGCAGAGATCATTATTCCTGCTTTGCCCATGAAGAAACTTCACCTCAGAGCAATTATGCAACTTCAGATTACAAAGTGGTAAGGGACAGAACTAGCACATGAACTCCAAGAATTAGAACTCCAAGGCTAGAGTTCTTCTCAGTACTTCAAAAATGAACATTATCTTTAGAGATAAAATTATGTGATTGCTATGATTTGTTTCAAAATACTCCAGGGGAAAAAGTACTGAGGAGGGAAAAAAATGAAACAAATCGGGCAAAACACTGATTACTTCTGAGGGCACATGATGACTACATGAAATTACATTCTATTATTCTCTATTTTTATGTATATTAGAAATTTTCACAATCAAAAGCTTTTTAAAAGTCAAAAAGGTTCAATAAACAAAGCATTTAAGTCCTAAAATTTTTCATAAATAGCTCATTCGGTTAAACATCCAACTTGGTTTCGGCTCAGGTCCTGACCTCATGGCTCCTGATCACGATCCAGCCCTGGGTCAAGACTCTGTGCTTAGCATGAGTCTGCTTGGGTATTCTTCTCCCTCTGCCCCTTACCCTGCTCATGCACAGGCATGCTCACTCTCTCTCTCTCTCTCTCTCTCAAATAAATAAATACATCTTTGAAAAAAAAATCTTATTTGGGGAGCCTGGCTGGCTTGGTGGGAGGATCATGCAACTCTCGATCTCAGGGTTGTGAGTTTGAGCCCCACAATGGGTGTAAGATTACATAAAAAAAGATTAAAAAAAAAAAGAATCTTATTTATTATTAACCCAAATTTGGTGTGTGAACAAAACAAGATTACGGGAACTTAAAAAAAAAAAAAAAAAAAATCAAGGTCAATCAGTAATACTCTGCTGGAAAATAACTTTTCTCTATGAAGGCCTGAATGATTCTATAAAGCAAACAAGACTATCAGAGAAAGCCTAAATCTATTTCCGAAACACTTAGGCCAACAGCAGGGTAAAAAAATCACCAGAGTTTAAGCCTGCTGAGAGAAAAGTTACCTGGAGCAATTTCTCAGCTCAGCCAGAGGATCACAGACAGACAGTTTATGCCACTAGCTTTTTATGGAGGAAATTGAGGATCCAGGCTGTTAACTACCTTGCACAAGGTCAAAGAATTAATTACTAGCCTGACTCACATCTTGTGATTCCCCCAATCAGCATCTTTCTCCAGCACCAGGCTATCTCTAGAGAAAAGCAGTATTTTTTTTCCTTGGCTGTGACAACTTACTTCTACTTATTTCTTTTTTTTTTAATCACAAGAAATTCTCTTAGGCATGAATGAAAAAGTTAATTTACAGAATAAAGAATTTAGTGTATTTCAAAATATAGTCTAAGTTCAAAACTAAACAAAAAGTTCTAGTTCCAGGGAGGATGAAGTAAACACACTTCATGGAGACCCCTGTCTCTCCCTCTGACCATAACTATAAATCCTGGATAAAACGCATAACATACCCAAGGACTCTGAAAAGTAAATGACAGCAGATTTGAAAAAGAGAGCAGAATTTGAAGTTCTTTCAAAATGCCAAGAAGTTGTCATTTTTCCTCCAGTACTGCCCAGCCTAGATCCAATGGCAACCCAAAACCCGGAAGTGTTCACTAAGTACGGAGAAGGAGCTCTAAGAAAAACCCTCTCTTTTCGGTCCAGGAAGCAGGAAAAGAAGGATGGGAGAAATTTCATTTTGGCTTATACCCCAATAACAGAGACTTCAATATGGTCCCTAAGTAAATGATAAAATTACAGAATATCAGCAAAGATACAAAAGACCTGAATGCCTCATCAACTGACTGGCTCTAACCAACAGTAATGGAACACCTCAACCAACAATGGCAGAATATACATTTTTCTCAAGTGCACACAGAACACTCACCAAAATAGAACATGTCCTGGG